GTCATATATGTGTAATAAAAAGTACTAAATAGGCTTAATTTCATTTATTAAGAAAACTTCTCCTGAGAAGATCGGTCTAAAACATCTTAGTTAAAGAAATGAAGCCCTATGAACAGGTCTGCTCTGTGGCATACGAGTTGTAGGGCTGTAATTTTTGTTTTTGCTTGCCATTATAAAAATGATATTGAGAACTAGGGAAATTGTCCATTGTTCCAATAGCAATGCTGGAAGGGTGGGAATGCTGCTGTGGCTGTGCCATTGATGCCTCATCTACATCTGCTCAGAAATTGAGTGGGATGGCAGAGCATGGGCAAAAATCTATTTATGTCGGTTCTTTCTTTGTTGCTAGCTTTTCTGGAGTAATGCTAGTATTAATGCAGTATTGGAATTTTGCCTGTGTTTGCTGCATTTGCAAATCAAGCTTTATCATTGAAAAGTATGTATAGTAAAATAATACACTTATTCATCTGTTATGCATTGAGCATACTTACAGAAATACCAGTATAACTATGCTTATAGAAATTCTGCATCAGAAACAGCGCGTGATGGCTTTTACTATGGAACTATTTTACTTTGCTGATACTCTGTTTACATTTAAACCCATGTGTCTATATTTAAGGTGCAATAGTGCTACGTCTTGCCAAATCATGGTTCCGTATAGGATCCTTGGAAATCTTAGCTCATTCTGGGGAGCTGGACTTACAAAGGTTTGAGTTTAATCTTCATAGTAACTATGTTAGTTTTCTTAAGAAATAAGTATGTATTAGAACGCATATATACAGTTGGAATTTGGACGTAAATTATTTAGAAAGGAAGATTGCATAACTTAGAAAGATAACATGCTATTTTTATACAAGCATATGAAAGACCTTACCTCATAAGGGTAAAGCCCCCTTGATATTTCTGAAGGCCTGGATCTTACAAAATGAGAAAGATTTTATAGCTGAAATAGTCCTGGTGACTAAGCATTGGGAGGGGTTGTTTGTTTTGGAAAGATTTGTAATTTTAGAGTATATGAGAGTATATGTTCCTATGTTTCTCATAGTTATCTGTGAAGCTAAATTAAAAAAATTATGAAATAACTCACTAGCATAAGTATGTTGTATAAAGTATGCTTTCCAGAAACATTCAGAAGCAGAGAAGTATGCTAGGTAAGAAATTGCTGCACAGTTTTAAGCCTCTTGGCAATATTAATTTGTGTGTCAAGCAATTAGCATGGCAAATTTTTGGTCTACTAATTAAATAATGTAAATATTTAAAAACTGGTCATTTCTCCTCAGGAGCAATGTAGTGGTTGATAATCACTTGCAATAGAAATTGTTCTGGGTGCTTAAAAACAAGCAATTGCTCATAGGGGCAGCTGAATATTGTAGTAACTGATATTTCAATTTAACTTTCCACATGACTGCGCTGTCTTTCTTTCTTTTTTTTTGTTTTTTAAATTGTACAGCAGATTGTTGTTGTAAAAGTGAAAGACTCAATTAAGGAACTGATTTTGAGGTTTGGTTTGGGTTGGGTTTTTTTGTTTTGTTTTTTGTTAAAGTATTTGTGACCCATTGTATTTAAGAACCATGTAAAGCTCACTTGTACTCATGCAGAATAGATGACTGCTTCCTGCTGGTTTTGGAGGGGCCCTCAGAAAGAATGGCCAAGAGCAGGCCAAGGCTAGTGTGACTGTCTGTGCTTCCTCCTCAGAGGAGGTCCTCCTGAAAGAGGATGACCTGGAGCAGCCAGCTAAAATCCAGAGGCAATAGCTTAGACACCCTTCTGAAGGTCAGGTTGCTAGGTACTCTGATAAAATTGTCACAGTTTGAGGGGAGTCCAGTAATTTGCTCCAACAACCTGATTAGAAGGTAAAATCTAGATATTTGTGTGCGCAGCCACACAACCCTTGCCCGGGTCCAGCCCCTGCCCAGGCTGCCTGCCCCATATGTAGATGGTGCTTCCAGCCACCTCTGCCAGTGGCCCTGGCTGGCTCTGGCCACAAGAGGTTCCTACAGGGAGCTCCTAAATGTACTAGATGCCAGCCGCTCTACTTTAAGGCTTTAGATCTGCAAAGATGTGCATTCTGACAGGCATTGCCATTTTTAATGCCCAGAAGGCAAATCACATCCTGGGCTGCATCAAAAGATGCATTGCTAGCAGGCCCAGAGACGTGATTCTTCTGCTTTACTTTGCTCTGGTGAGACCTCACCTGGAGTATTGTGTGCAGGTCTGGAGCCCTCATTATAAGAAGGACATGGACCTGATGGAGAGGGTCCAGAGGAGGGCCACAAGGATGATCAGGGGGTTGGAGCACCTCTGCTACGAGGACAGGCTGAGGGAGCTGGGGTTGTTCAGCCTGGAGAAGAGGAGGCTCCAGGGAGACCAAATAGCAGCCTTCCAGTACCTGAAGGGAGCCTACAGGAAGGCCGGGGAGAGCCTGTTTAGAAAGGCCTGTAGTGACAGGACAAGGGGCAATGGCTTTAAGCTGGAGGGGAGCAGATTTAGACTGGAGATTAGGAGAAAGTTCTTTACTGTGAGGGTTGTGGAGCACTGGAACAGGTTGCCCAGGGAGGTGGTTGATGCCCTGGAGATATTCAAGGTGAGGCTTGACGAGGCCCTGGGTAACCTGGTCTAGTTGGGGGTGTCCCTGCTGACTGCCTCTGCCAGTGGCCCTGGCTGGCTCTGGCCACAAGAGGTTCCTACAGGGAGCTCCTAAATGTACTAGATGCCAGCCGCTCTACTTTAAGGCTTTAGATCTGCAAAGATGTGCATTCTGACAGGCATTGCCATTTTTAATGCCCAGAAGGCAAATCACATCCTGGGCTGCATCAAAAGATGCATTGCTAGCAGGCCCAGAGACGTGATTCTTCTGCTTTACTTTGCTCTGGTGAGACCTCACCTGGAGTATTGTGTGCAGGTCTGGAGCCCTCATTATAAGAAGGACATGGACCTGATGGAGAGGGTCCAGAGGAGGGCCACAAGGATGATCAGGGGGTTGGAGCACCTCTGCTACGAGGACAGGCTGAGGGAGCTGGGGTTGTTCAGCCTGGAGAAGAGGAGGCTCCAGGGAGACCAAATAGCAGCCTTCCAGTACCTGAAGGGAGCCTACAGGAAGGCCGGGGAGAGCCTGTTTAGAAAGGCCTGTAGTGACAGGACAAGGGGCAATGGCTTTAAGCTGGAGGGGAGCAGATTTAGACTGGAGATTAGGAGAAAGTTCTTTACTGTGAGGGTTGTGGAGCACTGGAACAGGTTGCCCAGGGAGGTGGTTGATGCCCTGGACAATTCTATGATTCTATCCCAATTTCCTGAGCCTGTCTGTTGGACTGTGCAGCAGCACTGTTTTGGGAATGGCCCGTTACTATGGCAAGTAACCCTACTTCATAAGAATTCAACCAGAAAGTTTTCTGTCTGAGAATTCTAATGTAGAATTATTCCTTGCAATCGTATACTGTTTGGTTTTTTTTTCCGTAAAAAACTGATATTATTGCATGTAAAACTGGATCCTGGAGTGCTCTGGAAATTTAACACACAAGAATAATTTTAACTCTATGTGGAAGTCTCCAGACATATGTATGACTGGAACCTTAGGTTTTATCTCTAGGCATTTGGAAGGGCTTAATCCAAGACTCACTGGAATAAATAGATTGAATTTTCTAAGAACTATTTGCAGAAAGCCATAGATCTGCATTTAGCTGTTTGAAAACAAGAATTTTGAACGATCAGTTCTAAAAGTGCCAGTTTTGTTTAAAGAATTCTGACTCTTCTGTTACAGAAGATTGCTAGACTTTATCATCCAGGAACATTTTCCATTAATAGCCATGAATGATTCAAATAGATATCTGGTAAGTCTTTTTCAAAAGTTGTTTTTATTTTCCACAAGCATGCGAACAATTATACAAAGCTTCTCAAAGTTTCACATTTTAAAAGATTTTAAAATGTGAAGTAAGCTTCCAGGCTTTGTTAGTGAAAGTCTGTTAATTCTCTTCCTTAAAAGCCTCCTTGAAGTTTGGTTTTTTTTTTCCCAATGTCAAATATGAACATTCTTCACCAGTTTTCATTATTGAATTGTTTGTTGGAAACCTATTTTCTTTTATTTTTTGTTCTCTGACTGCTCAGATTTTAATTGAGCAGTGGTCATGAAGTGATGAATTACGCTTTTTCTACTATAAATGTAGTATATATAGTATATACTAGTATATACATTAGTGTATGTAGTGTCTTTGTTTCTTTTTTGAGTTTTTAATTTCTTTTAGGGCATCTCTATGTACTTACTTAACTATTGTCTTTGCTGAATAAAGTTATTGTGTAGTCACATCATTTAGAATGTGAATGAAAAGGCCTGACAGACAGAGATAAACATTTAAAAATAGAATGTAGGACTTCTACAATCTTTCTAAAGCGAATAAATTGTTTATGCCATTGTATTCCGTATTTTTGATTCAGAAGACTTGAAGTAAAAGATGTATTTGATTTTAGGAATTTTTCTCTACAGTCGTATCAGAGACTGCAAACCTGATTGCGCTGTGGATGTCTGTGGGGTTTGCACATGGTAAGCTGCAGTAGATGGCCTTGGCTTTGCAGGAGTGACTCTTTATAGTCTGTATATTTAGAGGTGGCTTTTATTTGTCACTTTGTTCTTCAGTTCTTCTGGTATCTCTGCCTGCAACAGTATCTGTTATGCATTCATATACAAGTATTTTCGTAACAGAGCTAGGAGCACTTTCTGATCTTTCAAAGCATGACCGTGTCTGACAGAAACAAGAATGTGAGAGCAAGAATCCTCAGAATTGGTCTAACAGTCTGATGTACAAAGACTGTGTACCGATGTCATATATAAGTTTAATTGCACTGAATTTGATGCATCAAACCTGGCCTTTTGTGGTGTATAGGATACAGTGCTGTCCAGCTTTGTTTCAGATTTATATTATGAAAAACAAAATAGCATTGTCTGGCTAATACAGCACCCAGTCAACTTGCAAGGAAGCAGCCAATGACCAAATTGCAAGACGCTGCTTCAGTACTGTGCAGCCATGGAAGGAAAAGGGAACAGTGCCACCTAGGTACAGAAACCAGATGCAAGATAATGTAGTGAACAGTTTCTCTTTTTCTTTCTTAAAATGCATGTCAGGTCAAGAGTAAGAGAGACAAGTTTATTTTCCAGAGTTTGATTTCTAAAAGATAATGGCCTCAAAGTTCTCTAGATTTGGTGGATCTATTTCACAGCAATTTTTTTAAAAGCTACAGGGTTGAATTTTAACTTTTGTTTCTCCTTCTTGTTTAATTGCAGGTGTGTGCAACACAGATAACTTCAGTTTATTATCCATAACAATAGATTATGGTCCGTTTGGATTTATGGACTCCTATGACCCAAGTGAGTGCAGCACCTGTTTTTAAAACACAATTTTTTACTTAAAATAAATCCTTTATATTAATTTATGTAGTTTCTGTGTGCATGAGAACTCCTAACATTATTAGCAGAAAAATCCCAAGCGTATGTAGAAAAATCCCGAGCATATGTATTGTTTGAAGAGTTTTAGGGAAAAAAAAATGTATCAGAGGCCAGTTGTATGATGCACTATACTGGTTGCATTTCAAGTGCTAAAAGTCTTGTTAATGAAATATTACTATTAAACCCACTGTCAGGAGAATGTTTCCAGTTGAACTTCATCAACTGAATAGATGCTACAGCAGAAACCTAGAAAACTGAAAATTGTGTATTGCTGTAAGCAGCCAAAAACAAAAGTAGTATACAGTAACTTTGCATGCATCATGCTCTAGCTTTATAGTCACAGCAGCTAATTATATGTTGGAAGAAAACAAACCTACCCAGTCATGGCAACCTTTCTTTGAAAGTCTGAATTCAGTTGGTCTGAGATTGATAGATGTAATGTGTGCATTACATCTATATAGTAATCTAGATGTAATCTAGATTAGTAATCTAGATAGTACATCCAGATAGATGTAATAATCTGCATTTATGTCCAGTATGTACATAAATGCAGATTATGAGATTATTGTTTAGAGGTTGTATCTGAGTAAGCTTCAGAACCAGCAGTGGTTATCTCGCTGTCTGTTTTCATGAGGCTGCAGCCTCACATTAAGGAAATCTCATGAGAATAAATGTAATTTTTTTTTCTATCGTACTGAAAAAAACAGGGCTTTTCTGGTTTTAGATCTTTCTCTGTATGGTGGATTGACCCCAGCCAGCAAGTAAGGACCCACCAGCCAGTCATTCACTCCCCCCTGCTGAGGGTTGGGGGAGAGAATTGGAAAATCAAAGCTCATGGGTGATGAAAAGACAGTTGAATAAGCAAAGGGGGAAAAAAAAAGGGGTGGGGGCAACCAACATGTGATGTGTCCCCTCCCAGCCCCTTGGCCACCCCCAGCCTCACTTGCTGGGATTGCAGAGTGAGACCAGAGAAGGTCTTCATGCTGGGCAAGCATTGCTTAGCAATGGCTAAAACATCGTTGTGTTACCAACACTGTCCTAGTCACAAGTCTAAAACACAGTGCCATTCAGGCTGTATGGAGAAAATGAACTCAGTCCCAGCCAGGGGCAGTACACCCAAGAACCAGATAAAATGCTGTAGAGTTAAAATTCAGTTTTGAACCACTCACCAAACCTGAGAGATGTGTCAGTTCTCCTCCTTAATGCTCCATTTGTCATTAATTTCCTCTGAGGACTCAGGCAATGCTGTGTGCATCCATCAGCTTATCTGCAGTTGATCTGAGCATGGGCTTCATGCTGCATCAGTTCAGAGACTGGTGCTGTAGCTCTGCAGACATTTTACTTCTGGATACCTGTAACTTGCATAGCACGTATTTGTTGTCTCCCAAGTACTGGATTTGCATACTGGAACGTGCTAGCCCTAATTTTTGTGTGAAAAGCTTGCCTGTAGAACTGAAACAAATCTTTCTTGCTGTTACTTTTCAAAAAATACTTGTAAATACTGAGTCTGGTCGCACAGTTATTTGCTTAGTCTGTGTGCTAAATAGTAGCACTGTATCTAGCAAAAACATTGAATAAGACGTTGCTTTTAGTGTAAAAATGGTCACCTCTTTAAATGTCTGAAAATTTATTTTGTATCTTCAAGTAGGAAAATGTCACTTGTAACATGTGGGAACTGTCTGTGAAGGATGTATTCCTTAGATTTGCAAATAATAGAGCTTGAGTAAATTCACTGTAAATAAGTATCCTTATGATCTGATTTTAAATATTAGAGTAACTTAAGGGCTTTTATTAATTTGCTGGGCAAGTATAAAATGAGTGCACTTCAATATATTAACATTGTTTGTTTATTGGAATTACTCTGTTGCAATGTGTTTTTTTTGAAACAGATTTTGTACCAAACACATCTGATGATGAAAGGAGGTATAAAATAGGAAACCAGGCAAATGTTGGGCTGTTTAATCTGAGCAAGCTGTTACAAGCTCTAAAACCTTTATTGGATCCCAAGCAAAAGCAGCTGTAAGTAATCCTTAAAATATATTGGTGCTTAAAAGAACTAGTGAGATGGGAGACCCGCTAATCACCATATGCATAGGAAAGAAAGGGATTAGCTTATCTTTTTTTCTAGGTGGAAAATAATTCTGAATTAATTATTGGTCAGAATAAGGTGGAGGGAGGGGAGAAGGATTTTCATTGTTCATCAATAAGAGCAGAATGTGACTGGGAGGTGATCTTAGATGTTGTGTGTTCCATTCTCCTTTCCCTAAGGTAGGACCTTTGCCTGTAGCTTTCTATTCTTGTCCAGTGTATTCTTTAAGGTGCTTGCTTATGAAGACCATACATTCTCCTGAAGTGATGAGGTAGTATTTTAATACCTGATTGTAAAGATTCTGACATGAATCTTCTTTTGTGTGGTTTAAACTTGTAACTTCTTACTCAGTACGAAAAGGAAGACCATTGTATTTTTCCTCTTTGCAGCAGTTATTTATGTTTTTGAAGCCTGTTAAAATGTTTCCCCTCAGTCTTTTTCCCACTGCAGATCCTGATTGATTCAGAATATCAATGTGTGTGAGGTATCAGATGAAACAATTTTTCATTAATTAGAGTACAGTAGGATTGTAGCCACAGTAGGATTGTAGTTCCACAGAATTAGACATTTCCTTTTTCTTTTTTTTGCAGAGCTTCCCAGATTTTGGAGGGATATGGTGAGCGCTATTACATCCGGTATGGAGTTCCAGAACTCAAGCCTTACAGTCACAATGCTATGTCACATTATATGACGCTTCCTTACCTTTTTTTGTTATTTTCAGTTTCACAGAACTATTCAAAGCAAAATTGGGTCTTCTTGGAGAGAATGAGGATGATAACTATTTGATTGCTTTCCTCCTAAAAGTAAGTTTGCTTTGCTAATTTTTTTGGCAAACGTCTGGACCCTCATACTTTAAAAACTCAAAAGTATCTTTTTTCACCAGCTTATGGAAGATACAAAGGCTGATTTTACAATGCTTTTTTGGCAAACGTGTGGACCCTCATACTTTAAAAACTCTGATAGAAGTATCTTTTTTCACCAGCTTATGGAAGATACAAAGGCTGATTTTACAATGACATTTCGACAGCTCAGTGAAATTACTGAAGACCAGTTAAAGCAGCTCCATATTCCTGAGGTATTAATTAATACAAGCACCCAAATTTAGGAATACTTAATATAAAATGAGTAAATCAGGTTGTACATAACCCTGTAAAAGAGAATGTCTCAAGCCTTGATTTGCCTGGGAAACATGTCATTGTAGCACTATTAGGGACAGGGAGGCTAACATATCTGTGTCATGCTACCACCCCATGTTAAGGTTGTAGCATTATTAGGGGACAGGGAGGCTAATGTATCTGTGTCATGCTACCACCCCATGTTAAGGCTGTGTCTAATAAAGAAGGATACATTAACAGAGAGTGCTAATGAAAGATACATTAATGAAGAGTGCTCAAGTAAAACGTTCAGTCTCTGGTACAGGTCCAATATGAGTAGTCATAAATATTTATACACAGGTGGGAATGTGATTTTCTTCACATTTAAGGTGGGTCTGCTGGAAAGAATTTTCCTTCCTTCATTCCCTCCCCCACTTTTTTGTTTTGTTTTGCTTATGAATACCTTCTCATAGTATTTCGTGAGACACAAATTAAGTTGGTCAGGGCTCATGAGTAAAATTTGAACCTCTGGCTGAGAATGTGATTTTCTTCACATTTAACGTGGGTCTGCTGGAAAAAACTTTACTTCCTTCACTCCCACCCCCACTTTTTATTTTGTTTTGTTTTGCTTACGAATACCTTCTCATTGTATTTCGTGAGACACAAATTAAGTTGGACAGGGCTCATGAGTAAAATTTGAACCTCTGGTTGATCAAAAACTATTCTTAACATGGGGCTACCAGGTGTCTGAAACATCTGCTCTCAGGCCCATCAGCTTGTCTCAGTATCTAATGCCAAGTGAGATCCCATCTCATCATTAACTCTTGTTGGAGTCCCAGTCCATAGTGGTCTCTCACCTCCCTTGGGCACAAGATCAGTTTTAAAAGTAGCTTAAAGCATAGGAATACATGTTTCATTGTGTCCTGCTCAGCCTGCTGTCCCATCCGGTGTTGCTGCTAACTCAGCCTAAACTTACTCTTCAGGACAAAGTATAATCATAAAAGAGATGACAGCATCAAAATAAAAGAGATGAGAGCATCAAAATAAAAGAGATAAACCTCTTACCTGGATAAAGTGCAATCTTTAGAAGTGAAAATTGGCTGAAATGTTTGAACTGAAGTGAGATGCTGAGCAAATAATGGATAAAAATGTGGAGGGGAAATTCTGAAAAAAAAGTTTGTGAGTACCTGATCTGGAAAGGAAAAAAAGGAAGCCTTTTTGCAAGAGCCAAAGGATTTTTTTTTAATTTTTATTCTTTAATACAGTGCCTTTTCCACATAGGGAATATTCTTCGCTTTGTCTGGGAAACCATTGCCTTTCTGTAACTTCTGACTTATATCTGTCTTTGAATCGAATTAAAAATGAGAGCAGGTAGATTTACGAGGTTGTTTTAGGGAGCAGAATGACTGTGTGTAAAGCTTAGAATGAAAATGAGGAGTTACTGTTTCTTTTTCTGGTTGTGTCCTAGATAATTAAGTGATTTTGACCATATTCTCTGTTTTTGCTTGTTTTCTTCTGTTAAGTAAGAGGTCTAACCTGACCTTTTCTATGAGCTTGAAACCATTAATAGTTAAAAAGAGGAGATCTTCTAGTGGTAAAGCAGGTACAATTTTATGCTGGCGAAAAGTTCTATTTTTTCTAAGACTTTTTAATAATAATTTCATCTGCTGTTTATTCACACTCTAATACTTTGTCAGTAGCAAAGTAAGTTCTCGTGTTGGTTTGTACAAAAACTTTTTTTTTTTCAGCTGCACACCAAAATTGACCTAAAAATGCCAGAGTCCTTTGGGAACACTGCAGAAGTCCTTACATTTAGTATTAACTGGAAACATTCTGAAATTCCCCCCAAAGCAGCCTAACCCTGCACATCTTGGAACAAATGCTTGACTCCCGCACTCACCTGTTACCTGCTTGCCTGACCCCCAGCTCTTAGTCACTTCTGTAATTTTAACTCATTTTTATACTCAAATGTGGTTTTCATTATATTTTTGACTCCCGTTCCTTTAGAAAAAACACAGATGTGATCAAAACTTTGTTTTGTTCTTGCTTTTAATTCCCCTTAACTTTTGCCCATTTTTCCTTGCGTATCTGCTGTTCACTTCCTTTTATCTGTGTCCATTTCTTTCTAATCTGTTCTTTCTCTGAAGTTCATTTTTTGTCTGTGAGCTTTGGCTGCTTTCTCTCAGCCGAGCGATACGAAGCAGCTGTTTAGTTCAGTGGAGTCAGCCAGGGAAGCTGCGTTTGTGGTGGTTCTCCAACACTGGAGGCACTAACTCCAAGCTCTGCTTTCTCTCTGTTTGCCTTTTCCAAGTTGTGTCTCCTCTCCCTTCTTCTTCTCCTGCTGTCTCTATTCTTCTCCTCAGTCTTCTCCCATCCCTGTAGCCTTAAGTTTCTCCTTTCACATCTTTCTTTATCAATATATTATGCATATTCCACAATTTTGGAAAAAAACCAGCCACATCTCTATAAATAGATCTGGTCCGTGTACATAACTCAGAAGACAGTTAAGTCTGTAGTTATGTAGCCTAAAAAAATAAATTAGGTCAGACAATAAGCCAAGAAAAAAGAGGGATGAAGTGCTAGAGGGGCTTCGATAGAATTTGCCATGACAGAGATGGATTAATACGGATATCTCACTCTATCAAAAGTAAATAATTTAAATACAGAGGAAAAGATATAGTAGAATTTTGGGGGACAAAATTCCTTCAAGGGTCATCACATTTCCCTCTTATATCCTTTCAATATTCATTTGCTTACTTTGTTTTTTTCTTAACAGGAACAAAATTCTGATTACCCTCCATTAACTGTTTCTTTCTCTTCAGGAGTTCTGGGCTCTCCAGGATCTGAGTAAACACAAGTTGTTTTCAGAATGGGTTACTATGTACCTCTTGAGATTAAATCGGTAAGCATGATGCAGTTTCAAGTGTCAAAATAACTTCTTATGCCTTTTTTGTCTTTATGGTTCTAGATTGTGCTAGATTCCACAATAATTACTAGCATAGTTCTGTTTAGACACACAGGTACACAAAAATGACATGGGAGGAGTGGTCTGTGTTTGTTCTCTTTCATTGAGCAATTGATCAGGTTTCTTTGGTTAATAATTTTTGTTAAAATACCAGTCCTACAGATTGAGCCCAAGAATCTGAAAGTGAGGCTCTGCAAATACATAGGAATGAATAGTGTTTCATTACTGGTAATACACGTATTTTTTACTATGTAATAATATGGTTTTAGGATGACAAGGGGTGGAAATGGAACAGCTGCAAACACACAGACTGTGTTTGGAAGCAGCTGGTGTTGCACAGATAGGCACATGTGTGTTAGAACATCCTACCCATTCTTTTGTCTTAAATCAATAAAGAATTCAATGTGGTTTTTTCTTAATAATATATGTTTATCTTAATATATATTCTTAATCATGTGGCTGATAGTAAAGAGAAGTACATATCAGGTACTTGGACATTTTATTCAGTAAATACAGTTCTTACAGAAAAAAATCAATACAAGATACAACACCTGCAAGAAATTGTGCAGTTTTTTCCAAGTCTAATCATTCTTACAGATTCACACCTGCTTCCACTAAACACAAAAGCAGAACACTTAATGATTCTAATGAAAGTCAAATGAAATATTTCTAAAAATAAGTATCAAGCTCATTAGCTAAAGCACTTTCTTTTTTCTTCTTTTGCTTTGTTTTTCATAGTAACAAGGGTGATTCAGACGGCAAGAGAAGAACACGAATGACAAGTGAGTAAAACAGTCCAAAGGAATTCATATGCTTGGAGATGGCAGCTATCTATTTACATAGGTTTTTTTCAGTGTTAGTTATTTTTCCTTTTGAGGACAACTAAAATGTACTGTTTTCCTGAAGAGGAGAAACTCTAATTACACCGCTGCAAATACACTATACACCTGCTGTGGCTATCTCTGCTTTCACCCAGTTGGGTAATTAGAATCCAGCCACGTGTGCATGGCTGGACTTGTGAATATATATGTGCTTTTTGTATGAGCTAAATGATCAAGATGTTCCTTGGCTACATTGAAACACGTTTCCTTCTCAAGGATCCTCCCTTCTCCCTCCTTAAAAAAAGAGAAAAATTCTTAATTTAAGTCTGCATTTATGAAGAAACTGGTCTGGCCCAAACACCTTCTGTTGTGAGTACAGTCCTGGTCCTGTCAGAGTCTGAGGCCTAAGAGTCTGAGACCACGGAAATGCTCCACAGCTACTAGTCCAAGTAGCTCTTCTCTTGATTCTGCTGGTTTTGAAGGACACAGCACATGTCAGTTCATATTTTGGAGGACTGAAATCACAAATGATGAAGATGTCATGAAGAAGGCTTTTCCATCAGTTTTCACATAGGCTGCTCTGACCTGTGTCACACCGTATGTGAATACAGACAGCCAGGCAATCCAGCTCAGCTGTCCATAGCAATCTTCATTTACCTACTTGTTTATTTTTCTTTCCTTTATTTGTTGTTTACCTTTTTGTATTTTTTTTCTCTTACTTTTGTTTTTAACCCTCTTTTTTACAATTTCCATTTGGGGGCTGCGGAGGTGCCAGGTTTTTCTGTGCTTTGGTGCTTGTGGACTTGGTTATTTTTTTTTCCTTTTGATTTACCTGGAAGGTACTTTGAATTCACCAACTTATTCTAAATACAGAATGGTGGAGTTACTGCATTTAGCTGTCTATCTCAGCAGATAGGAAATTCTAAAAATATTGTGGGAGGTGGTGGTTGTTTTTTTTTTCGGACCTGCAGTGGTAAATTTGTGAAATTTGCCTGTAAAAGACAACTGAAAATCTCTGGATGAAAGGGAGTGAAGGAAATGGAAGATCTGATCAAATTCTGCATGAGGTATTTATGCTTCATTGTTGAGCTGCTTTGCAGGCTGTTATATTCTCATTTCTAACTGAAACAGCTGTACTCTTTTGTTATATATTGATCGGCCACTTTCTTCAAAAGTTTTAATTGATTTGGTAGGAAAATGGCAGCAGACAGCACTGGCGTTCAGTAATAAGACAGTAAAAATTACGTCAGGCAGGAATTTTCATCACATGGAAGACCTTAATGTTTGCATCCACGTTTTCTGACCAAGGCTCTGTCCATTTTTAGGCACACTTCTTACAATTTTACATGCATTTTTAGAAAGTTAATATGAAAACAGTTACCAAGAAGAAAGATTTGGTTTATTATTTGTATTTTGGTAAGGTTAAGAAGTTGCAGCTGTGAGACTCCGAGGCTCTTTGCTCAACGACTCTTTCGAGGTTTTGAGCTCCCGTTTTCCTCAGCTAAAACTTAATGCTGAAAGCTGTCTAAACATACTTCTTCTTCTTCTGGATTTTGAATCTGCTTATGGAGAAGATTATGATATTCTGAGCTTTTATTCCAAATCAGAAAGGATCTTAGTTTGGGGACGATCTTCTGCTAACCAGCACTGGGGTTGTCTACGTGTATCTCAGGGGATCATACAGTACAGGAGCCAGACAAAGCAGAGAAAAGGTTTTGTCTCCAGGATAACACTTGTGCTCTTGTCTCCATTTTGGTAACAGTCCAAAACTTGGATTCATGTTTAAGTTTCATGGTTTTTTTCATGTTTTAAGGATTCATGGTTAAGTTTGTTTTCTTCCATATAACCTGTCGTCACAATATATTCAGACAGCAGAGCTACCAGATATTCCTAACAGACTGACTACTACTGTTAATTGGTTATTGGTCTGTTTAAAATCTTATTTTCTTCTTAAAATGAACAAACTTTGTTACATTTTTGCTAGCTTCTCCATATTACAGTGTGACTGAAGTTTCTTAGAGTTTTGTTGTTGTTCTCTGTTACATTTAAATAGATCTCTTGGATATACCCCCTGTGATCTCTTAATTTTTTTGAAGTATTTGCTTGTAACAGCTGCCCTTGTTAGTACAACTTGCAGCCCAAATCTGGCTCAACTCACTCAACTGTGCATTTTTACCCAGCATTTCATGATAAAGACAAAACTGTCAGGGCTCTTACAGATTTTTATATGGGTTGGTAAGTCCCACTACATCTCTTATCGCTGTCTTTAGAACTGACTGACCTTGAATATATTGCCATTATCACCTCGTTATTCATCACCTTTCCTTCATCATTAGTAAGTCTAGTAAAATATCTCATGTCCCAAAGTACATTACCTTGAACCATTTAAAGTTGATCACATTCGTTATCTTCATTTTTACCGCTCTCCATTTAGTTTTTAGTCCTTAGTAGCACATTATCTTTTACTGCCTAAACATAGTTCCTTAGGAGTTGATCAAAAAGATTTGACAATCCACATCCCCGTACAAGTCTATCATTGTATTTCTTTAGAAAAGAAACATGTAAAAAAAACCTGTAGACCAGATCACAAAATGCTTGCAAGGGCACAAAATCTTCTTCTTCTTTGTCCTTTTCTTATCTGGCTTGTCTCATTCTCTCATAATTTTCTTGTCACTTGTGTTAATTACAGATATTTTTAATGCCACTGTGAAACTTGTCAATTTGCAATTGTTAAGAATATATTTCTGGGACAAATATTCTCCTGCTACTGTGAGTCATGGTTTTAATGTGAATTATCATTTTTTGTATGAGTCATATGTTAACTTCTCCACCTTTTAAATATTCTTTTTATATTATTATCACACTTTACTGTTGAAAAGCCATTTACTGGATTAAATCAAATACCTGGCCAGAGCAAATCACTTTGCCAAGTGGGAATTTGCTGGTTTTTAGCAGTTAGGGGAGAGTGTTGTTATAACTCTGTAAAGGTTATCAGGGTTCCAAATTGCCAGTCTTATTTATTGGCTTTTGTTTAATGTATGTAAGTACATACAGAGCAGCCGTAATGATGTGAAAGAGTTGAATGTTTGTACCTGGATGGATGGCATCTCAGTCTCCATTCCCATGGATGCTGTGCTGGAATGGTCTTCTCTTACCTGGGCAGCTTTTCTGGAGGGAGTGGCAGTGCCACCTCAGATGCTTCTGATGCCAGCCCATTTTCTGATTTTGTAAGAGACCTCCACCTTCTCTCTTCTGGCAGGAGCAGGAGTGGTCAGAGTTGAGCACTTAGAGCACAGAGTGATTTTTGGTTTTGTCCTTTACTTTTCTAAATAACATGAAGGCCCTTTGTTTAATATTGCTGTACGGCAAATCTTGTGGCTTAAAATGGCTATCATTCAGTTCCAAAGATAAAAGAATTTAATTGTATTGCGATACATAAAATAATCATGCAAGCATTGTTCCACTGATTACACAGCTTCAGTAAGTTCTGGTTTGTTAGCTGGTTAAATGGTGCTTCTTAGAAGGAGTAGTTACTACAGAGAAGCCTGTTCACTGCTCTAGACACTGATTCTGTATGGGGAGCTATTAAATATGAATATGAATAAAGCCCTGTGATTGTCCAACCACAGAACCTCAGGAGGAGCCAGTCATAGCTTTTCTCAAAGACATCAGTTGTCTTGGTCATCAGGTAAGACAAACAAGTGATGTTTGCAAGCTGAAGCAACGGTACGAGGAGATGCAAGAATAGTGTGAATTGGGAAATGGAAACAGACTAGGTTTAATCCCTTCACCCAAAATATTGCTTCTGATCATCCCCCTCCTAATATAATGTATTATTTATAAATTAAATAACATCACAACTAATTGATTAGAGGACTGAGTAGAGGGAAATTTGAGATGGTGATTTTGATGAATACTCTGCTTTCTCTAATACCTTCTTTCAAATATGCTGTAAAGGTATTTATAAGAGTGTTTTCTAAAGCCACATGGATTTTTCTGAAAGACATCTATTATATAAAACTGATGTTTTTTCTTATAAAACCTACTGGGACATCAATGAAAAGGGAAGGAACAGATGAAGTTTGTGTATGCCCATAAATCACAGACTTTTGTTTTCAAAGTCCATGGGTGAAATGCCCCTAGTATCACAAATTAATCTCTTCATGGAATAATCAGTTACTGAATTAGGGAAAATATGGAGATGAAGGTCAAATTAAGATTTACAATGCAAGCCTGAAGTGTTTGTTACAATTAATCTGTAACTTTCTTTTTAATCATTAATTAAAGGGGAAACTTTCTGAAGTAGAATCTTAGGCTTTAATTGCAGAGCAAAAATAAGAGTTGTTGTTGACATTATCCGCAAAAAATGGATAATAAAAGCCATGTGTGCTTAGGAGAACTGGCCTTGGCACACACTTTGACAGAACTCCTTTTACAAGTTGTTAGTTGCTGTCCTGTAAGATAGAACCTGGTTTACTCATTCAGCAGTTTAATTTTCAATGTCCCTATAATCTCCTGACCACTAATTAGACACAATCAGCCTGGAAGAAGCCGGAGAAGCAGTGCAGCTGTCATGGGGCTTTCCAAAAAGATACAGCAGACAGTTGTGGAAAAAACTGGGGAACCTCCCCACACCCTCACCAGGAAATGCAAGTTGAAAAAGTAGTTTCTAAAAAAATACAGCTGAAATGCAACATCAAAGGCTTTCATGGATAAACTTTTGATATATGATAGGAATATCTAAATACATATACTTTAATGAAGATCTTAATAATTCCTTTTTAAATTAAGTAATAAAATAGTCATTTTTAGAATCTCCAGGAAAATACTGACAACATTGAAATATGGTCTCCAGCAACGTAGCAGGAACTTGGGCTGTGGGAAACTCATCACATTTGAGAAGTCTGCTGGTGTTCGTAACAGGAGATTATTTGTGTATCAATATGATGTTCTACGCTGTTTTGTTTGGCACTTTGGCATTACTGATTGTGCAAGTTTAAAAACTCCTTTTTAGCAGCTCATAAAAATATATTGATTCATTCCTTTTCCTTTTTATGCATTTTTTTTTCTTGATCTGCAAATCAAACCTTTTTTATGATTTCAATGACACGTTTCAATGACTGTGTTTTCCTTTTGTTGAATACGTCTAACTAAATTTAGCATGATTTACTTTTGGTTTCAGCTGTTAATCCTAGATACATTCTGAGGAATTGGATGGCAGAATCAGCAGTGCAAAAAGCTAATTTGAATGATTTCTCAGAGGTAAAATACTTCTTTTCTTTCCTGATGTATTTATTAACAATTGGCATAATTGTTAATGAAACAGTTGTTGCATTTACACTTTGAATGTATGCTACACTTTGGCCAACACTGTATTAATATAATCTACTATTACAAATATTAACAAAATTATTAATAGTGTTAATTATAAATAGGAGTGACTATATTAATAGTAGTAATAGTTTCTGGAGCTTGGGTAATATAATATGGTTGGACTCAATGATCCCAAGGGTCTTTTCCAACCTGAATGATTCTATGGTGAAGTGCCAGAAGCTTTTCATGTTTGCAGGAAAACATTTTGTATGAAAACTGACCTATTTTAATTGCTTCCAGGTTCGTCTTCTACAGCAGATTTTACAACATCCCTTCCAGAGGCAGCAGGCTGCAGAGAGAGCGGGCTACTCCCTGCGGCCCCCAGCTTGGGCCAAGGACCTCAAAGTCAGCTGCTCATCCTGAACTCATCCTGCTCATCCTGAACTCATCCTGCTCATCCTGCTGCAACTTGAACAAGCCAGAAAAATCATCCATGTCAAAGCTCAGGCCTTCAAATGGGATTAATGGATCAAGCTCCAGGAACTTCTCTCCCTTACACTTGGTTGACTGGAATCTGCTACTCTGCAAGGCAAGACAAGGTCTTGGACCAACTTTATAAAGTCTAAAGATTAGAGAAATGGACCGCTATCTATGGTTTCATTGGCAAATTATATTGGTGTTTATAACTCTGCCCTTCATATTCAACTGTGCATTAATTTGAGTCCCAATATGTAAGTTCTGCCAAACTATCATAACTTCTCAGAATTCATGGCTGATCAGGTGGGTCTCAGTAAGTTTTAATGGCTGGTCAATTTAAAATCCATCTAAGATAATTTTAATCATAAAGTATTTTGATGAATGTTCTTGCTGTTACTCACTGTTCAAATGTAATTGTATTCTGAAGATATAAATGTTACTAAGTCTTTTGCAGAGCTGGAACAGAGGATGATCTTGTTATAGTTGAATTTAAGGCAAACCGAGTCCGAAATAGGTTCACTAAATATTTATTAAGGTAGGAAGGCAGAAGCAGCGCTGGGCGGCCGGGGAGTCACAGCTCCACCAAGGGCTGGCAAATTCAGGCAAGGTAAACAGCTCCTTTTATCTTCTTTTATTTATAAGTGATTTGCTGATCAAACCTAGACAATACCTCACAAGCTGCATGTAATTCAGGATTTTCATTTGGTATAATTTTCATCTCCAGTTCTGATTGCTTCATCACCATTAGCTGCACTTTTTCCAACCTGCTTTTAACAAAAGTTACAAGCTTATTAATGATAGAAGGTCCAAAAGTCAGAGCCAATAACAACATTATGAGGGGTCCCTCCAAAGTAGAAATTAAGGTAGTCAGCCAGGGTGACCGATTACACCAGGATTCATACCAGGAGGACTGAGCCTCCTGTTCTCTTTTTCTTTTCTCTAATTCCTAACTTCACGTTTTTGAATGAATATTAGTCCTCCTCTATCAGTTCCAGATTCCCAATATCGCATTCCCCAGGTCCGTCCAAATAACCATCCGTGGTCATCAGGCTGCAGGATTTCTAATATAACATGCTTACAGTTGCCTAGATGGGGGCCCTCTATATGTCCATCCCAGCTTGGAGTCAGCGGCTTACAACCTCTGGGTCCCCATGTGATATTTAAAAACTCATCTTTAATGGCTACGTCCCAGTTTGAAGCTATGGTTTCACATCCCCAATATGCACAGTAATAGTGGTTAGGGAGACTGCAATAACTTTTTCCTGGATTTGAACTGGGGCAGAGGTAAAAAGGTTTTATTGCTCTTTCTTGTCGACCGGGTGGGTCTAGTTCATAAAAGACTAAGTCTTCCAATTTAACATGGAATTCTGGGGGTCCAGCTGTCACATTATACTGAACTTCTGTTGAATCTTCCCATCGACCCAAGGTCCAATTGAAGGGTTGATGTTCATTTTCTATAGTTTTGGCAATCAATGCCATTAATAGGATACCAGCTTTCATTTCCCCACTGTTCAATACCCCTCTGCCTTCCTCGTCTACTCTTTTGCAGAGAGCAACAGGATATTAATATCTTCTCAGCAGCAGCAGGTAGTCTTCAGAGGAATTTTGCTGTTATCCTGTTAGTTATCTCTCAAACATATTTCCACCTGTTTGGTTGCTGTGCCCGTTTCCAGGCGAATCTCATTGCACACTGTCTTAAAACTTTATACCAGTCTGTTTCTCATACTTCCCAAAGTTCAGGTACTAACAGTTCCCATCCACAGAATAATCTACAAATTTCCACTTGATCCTCTGGTCCTCTGTTATGTATGGAATCATTGTGACATTCCATACAGTAAGGTTGTCTCTTAGATGAAACACAGGACCAATCTCTATTACAATTTAAACATAAATGCCCGGAAGTAGGGTGTTTTAAACAGGGTATTCCACGGAGATCTCCTATTCTGGGTGATTCAGGTATTTCTGTCTCCGTTTCACAGCAAAAGGGAAAAACCTGAGGAGTTCCTGTTAGTTTGTATAATCCAGCCCCCTGTTTGGTCGGGTATCCTTTCTTCACTCCAAGGTGGGAAATGCACCTTCCATAGGGTATTTCCAGGTGGTATTTGGAACCACTGATATAAACTATTCCTTACTTCCCTCCTGGAGTGGTTCATTTACCGGCCTCGTTTTCCTTATCTTCATTTGGAGGTCTCCTGGTTCCGACGTTACGGTCCACCTTTCTGGGGAGACAGGTCCCTTAATTCTGCTGGCACGAGTCCATCCTTCTTCCGCTGTCCGTACGGCTGTATCTGTGGTAAGTAAAACAACAAAGGGTCCTTCCCAATGGGGTGTTAGGGAGGTTTCTTTCCAGGTTTTGATTAGTACCTGGTCTCCAGGCTGGATTCGGTGTATGGAGATGTCCAAGGGAGGTCTTTGTACTACCACAGAGGTCGGTTTCGACATCTTTGGTACATCCCTCGGCTTCTTTAGGTCTGTCTTGCTTCAGGCAGTTTCAATAAAATGGCAGGTACAAAATCAGTTCATACAATCTTTCTTTACATGGTTGATTGGTACAAAGGTTTTAAACAAAGGTACCAATTGCCGTAACAACACAACCTCTCGGCTTAACATTCGTCTTAAGATTGATGCACTTTGCATTCCTGTGTCTGGTGCAGCGAGATCGTTCCTCTTGCTTAACTCGTTTGATCAGCAAATTACCCTTAGTTACTTATTACAATCTTACACTTAAACCTTTCCTCTTTTTGACCTTGTTTTGTCCCATTAAACTGCCAACAGAGATTTAAAGGGAATTCAATTAAATAGTGAGCAAAGATGTCTGTCTGGGGAGTGAGTTGTCCAAAAATAAACGTCACTGTCTTTGCCAGTGTCAGGTGCCTCCCAAGCCTGCTCCCCTGCTCTTGGAAAGTCCATCTTTTGATAGTAGTAGAAGGACTTGTTGATACATGGATATAAAGTCTCCAGAAATTTTCACTGGTTGGACATCAAAAAAGGACTTTCTTGGAAGTATCTCACTATGTTAGTCAGCTCCATACACCTTTTGTATCCAGCCACCTGAGGCTGTAAGGGACTAACAAAAATCTTGCAGGGAAAGGATTTTAAATTCAACTGAAGCTGTTACAGAGAGTAACAGAGAGACCAGTCTTTGAGTCCTGGGTCTTGTTATTTATCTTTCTTTGATAATCCAATTCCATATCACAAAACTTAGTGGGTAATTAAGCCAAAATTGATACGTAAGCCATCAGGTCCAATGTTATGCTAGGAAATTTACAGCAAAAATCACTTCTTTGGGGGCTTTGTTACTTCTTGGCGTTATCTCGTCTCTTCTCAAATCCATTGGTTTGGATTGGTTTGGAATCTCTAAATTTCTTGAGTGCCACTTGATTCTGAAATAGAGGCTATTAAGTGGTATAATTAGCATTTCACAAATCTATTTCTAGAAATATAATTAGTGTAGAAAAATTTATATTATTAGAAATCTTTCAGTGACTAAAAAATACATTTGAATGCCTTTACTTCTTAACTATAATCAACACAATTATTCAGGATGGTTTCCTCTCAGATATATGTCTGTTTAAACATACATACAGTTGTTCAAATGTCAACAGTAGTATCATAATGTGAGGCACAATATAGATATTTAAATGCAGTTTCCTGGAACTCCAGTCTGAAGTTCAAGCAGCTTGCACAAGTCCAGCCTGGGTTACCATTCCTTCTGCAGGCTGGAAGTGCAACCCTTGGGGTTCGCCTTGGTGCTGGCAGCACCTCCAGGGAAAAGGAGTGGGTGGCTGGGGGGCCTGGAGAAGCCCCTCAGCAGGGGGCTGTGTTCCCACCTATAGCAGCATTGGCCCTGGTGTCTGTTCTCAGCTAATTACAAGCAAATTAGCATGTTGTGAGGAAACAATAATGACAGGAGCAGAGGAAATGGTCTAAAGTTGGGGCAGGGGAGGTTTAGATGAGATATTAGGAAGAATTACTTTCCTGAGAGGGTGGTCAGGCACTGGAACAGCCTGCCCAGGGAGGTGGTGGAGTCACCATCCCTGGGGGTATTTAAGAAATGTGTAGACGTGGCACTTCAGGGCATGCTCTAGTGCCCTAGATTTTTGGTTTGTGTCTGTTTGTTGGGTTTTCTGTTTGTTTTGGTTTGGTTTTGTGGTTGGACTCGATGATCTCAAAGGTCTCTTCCAACCATGAAGATTCTGTGATTCTGTGAAAATGTGTGAACCAGCATTACCACCTGCCCTGGAGTGAGTTACGCTGCAAGTGAGGATTTGGAGATGAAGGTACTTGTGCCTGCAGGGTAGATACAGCAGCGCTGCAGCCTGGGGACTGGGTTCCAGGTGGGTGACAGGAAAGAACTCGAACTTCTGTCAAACCAAGCATCCAGGAAGTTCCTTTTGTGTGTGAGCCCAACTTGGCTGCCTGGATGTCTTGACCTCATGGAACAATTGCGTAAATACAAAGCATTTTTGTACTGCTTTCTTCTTCAAAGTGTTTTATAAATGTTAAATCCCCTTAGTAACAAGTGGACCTTTGCTTCACCCAGAGTTACAGGTAAAGAAAGCCTCCAGTGCCAGGATATGAAACCAGACCATCCCAACTGGGAGCTGTCTCACAGGCAGTGACAGGGACCGCCCGCAGCACTCGGCGTCAGCCTTTTCTTGGGTCTTGAAAAATATCTAGAAGAATGAAGCCAGCTCTGAAAATTGGTTTCACATATTCCTCTGGCTGCAGAGACCAGGTTAGCCACTTCTCTTCTCCAGGAGTTCATTGGTGGACTCAGTCATGTCCTCTTTCCAGGATTTGTGTGAAAGCAAATCTGTTATTTCCCCCTAGTTTGACCATGCAGTTTGCATTGCCTGTTTTTAGTAATTATTCTGATTCCGTAACAGTCAGTACAGACTGTTAATGGTGATCAAACTGCCTTTCCACTTCTAGGTTTGAATCACTAGGGTTTATTATCACAATGTGTTTCAAGATATATTCTCCAAAATTCTAGGCTTCCACCTGTGGTTCCGGAGCTGCCTCTTCCTTCATGTTAACGAACGCAGCAGCGATGCCAGAGCAGACGGGGAATAGAAACCCTGGGGCTGGTAACCAAAGAGGTGGGTATTTGTACTCTCCTCCTCCTCCTGTAGCTGAGGCCAGGTACGAGGGGCAGCACTGCTGATCCCCCACCTGGGGACTTCTCCACATGACTCTGACCTTTCCAGCCCTAAGGACTGATGGAAAAGCGGTCGCTTGAAGTAGGTCCTTCTTCCATATCAGTGATGTCAGAGCCCAAAGATGGCAGCTGCTGAGACGGCTTCCATTTCAGCTGTAGAGAAAGGTTAAAAATAACATGCTGCAATTTCAGATCTTTTCAGACTAAAATACTGTAATCTCTAGTAACGCACATACTACTGCGATCCACAGGAGTAAGAGCATTTCATACGGCAATAGGTTAGATGGAGGTGGAAGGATTCACTTCGATTTTTTAACAAATGCTTTGATTTACAGTCTTGGAAAGGAAGATCTTTTTGTATTTTGCAGCATCTTTTATTATACTAAATAAAGCAAGATAATTGTGTATCATTATGATGGTAGCGCTGTTCTTTGAATGGAGTTTGAATACTTACATTTCAGAAATTCAATGCAACCATGTACATACAGAAAATAGTTGATAGAGGTCTAATCATCACAGCATTTTAATTGATTTCTGGAGTTTTCTGTAGGCTTTGATTCTTTTTGTTTGGAAGAAAGCTCCGCTTTTTTCTTTTGTGTAAAATTAAGTGCCTGAGTTCTGATTGACTGCAGATGTAAAATGTATAAAGTTGAATTTATTGTGCTGTAACAAAAGGAAGGAAATAGGGCAGGAGGCTGAGCGTTGGGCTCTGTTCAGGAGAAGAGTGAGCACTAGGAAAGCCGTGTAGAAGTCTTGGTGCTTGGTGAATTCTGAGAAACCAGCTTGTTGTGCAGCAGTTTTCTAAGGACATGTCCTGCTTTATTTTGATGAGAGTATAGATTTCATAAAATAAAATTCATTTGTTTTAAAAACAACAGCTGGATAGCAGACAGCTGTTGTCACCGACGCGTGTCGAAGACGTGCACTCCTAATGCCTTGTCAGAAAATGACACCCAGCTCTTTTGCATTCAGTGATTCTGCATAATGCTCACCTCCGTTACATGTGGAAAGCAACTGGGAAATGTTAATCCTTTTCCTTTTTTTCACCCCTAGTTTTAGCACTCCTACTTTTACCTAGTTTGTATTTTTTCTCCTGCACTTGGAACTGCAGGAGAAGAGTGAGCACTAGGAAAGCCGTGTAGAAGTCTTGGTGCTTGGTGAATTCTGAGAAACCAGCTTGTTGTGCAGCAGTTTTCTAAGGACATGTCCTGCTTTATTTTGATGAGAGTATAGATTTCATAAAATAAAATTCATTTGTTTTAAAAACAACAGCTGGATAGCAGACAGCTGTTGTCACCGACGCGTGTCGAAGACGTGCACTCCTAATGCCTTGTCGGTATAGATTTCATAAAATAAAATTAATTTGTTTTAAAAACAGTTGGATAGCAGACAGCTGTTGTCACCGAAGCATGTCGAAGACGTGCACTCCTAATGCCTTGTCAGAAAATGACACCCAGCTCTTTTGCATTCAGTGATTCTGCATAATGCTCACCTCCGTTACATGTGGAAAGCCACTGGGAAATGTTAATCCTTTTCCTTTTTTTCACCCCTAGTTTTAGCACTCCTACTTTTAGCTAGTTTGTATTTTTTCTCCTGCACTTGGAACTAAAACCTGTACTAAGCTGATGAGCCTTGCACCCATCTTGAGAGCATTTCTCAGTTTGGCTGTTTGGAGATGATGAGATACCTTTTGGGAGTTCTAGCTTGTCAGCTCAAAGCTTCTAGGTCATGTTTGTGTTCGTGGTAAATAGCTTACCCAGTGAGAGGTTTTTGCTCAGTTTGGTGAAAGCCAGGGAGCTAGAAGACCAGCAGGACTTGCATGGGCTCTGTCAATATTGGAAAGTAAGAGGGCCAGATACTAAGATACTAAAACCTGTACTAAGCTGATGAGCCTTGCACCCATCTTGAGAGCATTTCTCAGTTTGGCTGTTTGGAGATGATGAGATACCTTTTGGGAGTTCTAGCTTGTCAGCTCAAAGCTTCTAGGTCATGTTTGTGTTCGTGGTAAATAGCTTACCCAGTGAGAGGTTTTTGCTCAGTTTGGTGAAAGCCAGGGAGCTAGAAGACCAGCAGGACTTGCATGGGCTCTGTCAATATTGGAAAGTAAGAGGGCCAGATACTAAGATAGTGCTCGTGGTTTGTGTGTTATCAGAGCACAGTCCTGGTCTTTTCCTCCCTCAGTGCTCGTGGTTTGTGCTTTATCAGAGCACAGTCCTGGTCTTTTCCTCCTTGCAGAGGACTATGCTCCTGCAGCCACCGGAATGTGCAAACGTAGGAGGCACCATCTGAACCAGCACTGCCCTCCACGCACAGATGAGCTGTGAACTCCTGGAAAATGGGGAAGATTTGGGGAGTCTGCGACTCCAGGAACCTACACGACCTTGGAAAGCCAAAGAAGTTCCCTACCTCCTCCAGGTTGGTCAAATAATTCACCTAAACCAAAGAGCCCACCAGGGACTGGGGTGAAGGCAGGGACATGTGGTGTGACACAGGGTGGGCCTCATTTACCCTGTAGCATCAACAGACTTAGAACCCTCCTTGTCTGTGCTCCAAGGGTGTCCCCTGCAGGTTATGCCTGAACTCTCTGCCACCTCTGCAGATACATATCTCACTCTTCACATCTCACACATCTTCTTGGAAAACCTTGTCATTGAAATGCTTTTACATTTTTTTTCAATTCATAACCAGGGAGGAATGGTCACCACAACCGCCTCTGCCCACGCACACACGCATTGGTTGGTCTGCCTCAAGCAGCCACTTCTTCCACCAAGGCTGACACAGCTGTGGCCTTTACCACAGCGTTTAAAGCAAAATCACTTCAGTGGCAGGAGGAAATACACTTGGTTCATCATGTCATTAGTGTTTTCAGCTTAAAAAAAAAAAAAGAGAGTAATTTCAAAAGGAAAGGTGCTTTATAAAGGTGTGGTTATAGCCTTCATATTCCTGCTAGGCTGCTAAGCAGGTACATGGGCACTGACAAACCAAACTTAAGCCAAAAATAAGACTAGAGATGACCCAAAACGTTCCCAGGCCGTGGCACTGCCACCAGCTTGTCATTTCCTTGTCCCCTCCCCTCCCACCTCTGGACCTAGGACTCCACTTTGACAAAAGCAGCGCTCTTGCTCCCTACTCTGTCAGCTGCTTTTATATATTTACTAACTTATTTAGACCACACACTTTGCTTTTGATGCTTTTTGTACTGCAAAATACAGAAATATATTATTTATTATATCTTAGAAGATTGTATGCATGAGAAGAGGCAAGGACTGGAAGAAATAAAGACTAGAAGGTATAGGCAAAAACTCATTAAAATATTTGAAGTGGTACCAATTGCCAGTAAAATGCCCGTTCATTAACTATGACACTTTGTACAGATATAAAATAGAAGCTATTTTTATTTGAGAACTAATAATGAATGCTGCCTAAATGAACAACGGAGAATTAAAATGGGAGAAAAAAAGGGAAAAAAATGTAGGAGGAGATATTCACATCAAGTACAAAGTAATTACAAAGTATTTCAGAAGACAGACTATTTCTAGGTATAGTTTGAAGACAAATGTTAACCAACAGGAAGAAAAATCCTGCTTACCAAGGGAAGCACGCATGATTTCAAAATAACAATTTTTCTTTGTCTAAGATTAACCAAATAAACGAGATTTAAAAGCAGCAACTGTGAGTGCTGACAGGTCTGACTGGAGTTGCATATGGAAGCAGGAGTGTTTAACATTTGGGGTGACACTGTCTGGAAGTGGCCCCAGTCCTGCCCTGGATCTCAGAACAAGCTAGCTGAGTTTTTAACTTTTTAAGAAAGGCTATTTTTTTTTAAAACATGGGGTCTTTTTATTGAAAAAAACCCCCACACAAATTGGGGTTTTTCTGATTAAAAAATGTTTAAGGGGAATTCTCTGAAAAGGGATCCTCCCACTTCTCAAAATCCACACAAGAACATTGTTGTATTTTTTCTTTCAGTTCCAATTCTACTGGAGAGGCAGCCACAGAAGGTGCATTTCACTCACTGAGCGACTCTGCAAGTGCTGCTCCACCATCCCTGGCTGTCCTCAAGGACTCCACAGCCCATTCCTACCTCTGTGTCATGCTGGGATGGCAATTAATGGTGGCAGTGGGGAGCAGGGGAGGAAGAAGCAGGTTACAGGGACAAAACGGGGGACAGAGGGCACCCCGCTTTACTTCCTGAGACCCCCAGGAGGAACTCTGAAGAAGAATTCCTCCTGGAGGAACCTGATCCAGCGTGACCTTCCATGATGCCTCACAAAAACAGCTATGGCTTGAAGTCCATCTGCTCCCAGAGTTCAGGAGGTGCTGCCCCTTTTCTTCTCAAGAGCTTTCATTAAGTCAGACATGAAATCTGCTTGCCTGCCTCCACCCCCAGTCGGAGGTGGCCCAGCTGCCCGTGGCTCTCCAGCTTGTCCTGTGTTTTCTAGCCTTTTTGAAGGAAGTGGCACAGGTTTCTTCGTCGGAGGTGATGGCTTACTGGAGACAGGTGGAGGAGGAGGTGGAGGGGGTAATGGGAGGTCTCCATTACCGCTACTGGAGGCTGGTGGTGGTGGAGGCACGAAATCAGGAGGAGGTTCACAGAAATCAGATGGTGGTGGTGGAGGAAAATCAATCTTCAGCGTAGGTGGCGGGGCTGGAAAGCTGTCTGGATCTGTGAGGAAAATGCCGCTGTCTCGTTTGACTTTGGAGGGCAGGATTGGTGACACAGAAATAGCAGATGACCGCCGTTCAGGGGGAGGAGGAGGCTGCAGCGAGTTCCTCCTACTCTGGAATTTCTGTGGCCTCCCCACTGCCTGTGCCAGGCCGGGCACGCTGCCGTTGTTTGACTTGGCCTTTAACAAGCAGAAGGAATAAAAGGAGAAGACACGGTCAGTGCACGCGTAAAGTATTGCCACCATGAAGATTCTGTGATTCTGTGAAAATGTGTGAACCAGCATTACCACCTGCCCTGGAGTGAGTTACGCTGCAAGTGAGGATTTGGAGATGAAGGTACTTGTGCCTGCAGGGTAGATACAGCAGCGCTGCAGCCTGGGGGCTGGCTTCCAGGTGGGTGACAGGAAAGAACTCGAACTTCTGTCAAACCAAGCATCCAGGAAGTTCCTTTTGTGTGTGAGCCCAACTTGGCTGCCTGGATGTCTTGACCTCATGGAACAATTGCGTAAATACAAAGCATTTTTGTACTGCTTTCTTCTTCAAAGTGTTTTATAAATGTTAAATCCCCTTAGTAACAAGTGGACCTTTGCTTCACCCAGAGTTACAGGTAAAGAAAGCCTCCAGTGCCAGGATATGAAACCAGACCATCCCAACTGGGAGCTGTCTCACAGGCAGTGACAGGGACCGCCCGCAGCACTCGGCGTCAGCCTTTTCTTGGGTCTTGAAAAATATCTAGAAGAATGAAGCCAGCTCTGAAAATTGGTTTCACATATTCCTCTGGCTGCAGAGACCAGGTTAGCCACTTCTCTTCTCCAGGAGTTCATTGGTGGACTCAGTCATGTCCTCTTTCCAGGATTTGTGTGAAAGCAAATCTGTTATTTCCCCCTAGTTGGACCATGCAGTTTGCATTGCCTGTTTTTAGTAATTATTCTGATTCCGTAACAGTCAGCACAGACTGTTAATGGTGATCAAACTGCCTTTCCACTTCTAGGTTTGAATCACTAGGGTTTATTATCACAATGTAAGCATTAATACTGTGTTTCAAGGTATATTCTCCAAAATTCTAGGCTTCCACCTGCGGTTCCAGAGCTGCCTCTTCCTTCATGTTAACGAACGCAGCAGCGATGCCAGAGCAGACGGGGAATAGAAACCCTGGGGCTGGTAACCAAAGAGGTGGGTATTTGTACTCTCCTCCTCCTCCTGTAGCTGAGGCCAGGTACGAGGGGCAGCACTGCTGATCCCCCACCTGGGGACTTCTACACATGACTCTGACCTTTCTAGCCCTAAGGACTGATGGAAAAGCGGTCGCTTGAAGTAGGTCCTTCTTCCATATCAGTGATGTCAGAGCCCAAAGATGGCAGCTGCTGAGACGGCTTCCATTTCAGCTGTAGAGAAAGGTTAAAAATAACATGCTGCAATTTCAGATCTTTTCAGACTAAAATACTGTAATCTCTAGTAACGCACATACTACTGCGATCCACAGGAGTAAGAGCATTTCATACGGCAATAGGTTAGATGGAGGTGGAAGGATTCACTTCGATTTTTTAACAAATGCTTTGATTTACAGTCTTGGAAAGGAAGATCTTTTTGTATTTTGCAGCATCTTTTTTATAGTAAATAAAGCAAGATAATTGTGTACCATTATGATGGTAGCGCTGTTCTTTGAATGGAGTTTGAATACTTACATTTCAGAAATTCAATGCAACCATGTACATACAGAAAATAGTTGATAGAGGTCTAATCATCACAGCATTTTAATTGATTTCTGGAGTTTTCTGTAGGCTTTGATTCTTTTTGTTTGGAAGAAAGCTCCGCTTTTTTCTTTTGTGTAAAATTAAGTGCCTGAGTTCTGATTGACTGCAGATGTAAAATGTATAAAGTTGAATTTATTGTGCTGTAACAAAAGGAAGGAAATAGGGCAGGAGGCTGAGCGTTGGGCTCTGTTCAGGAGAAGAGTGAGCACTAGGAAAGCCGTGTAGAAGTCTTGGTGCTTTGTGAATTCCAAGAAACCAGCTTGTTGTGCAGCAGTTTCCTAAGGACATGTCCTGCTTTATTTTGATGAGGGTATAGATTTCATAAAATAAAATTAATTTGTTTTAAAAACAGTTGGATAGCAGACAGCTGTTGTCACCGAAGCATGTCGAAGACGTGCACTCCTAATGCCTTGTCAGAAAATGACACCCAGCTCTTTTGCATTCAGTGATTCTGCATAATGCTCACCTCCGTTACATGTGGAAAGCAACTGGGAAATGTTAATCCTTTTCCTTTTTTTCACCCCTAGTTTTAGCACTCCTACTTTTACCTAGTTTGTATTTTTTCTCCTGCACTTGGAACTGAAGCCTGTACTAAGCTGACGAGCCTTGCACCGGTCTCGAGAGCGTTTCTCAGTTTGGCTGTTTGGAGATGAGACACCTTTTGGGAGTTCTAGCTTGTCAGCTCAAAGCTTCTAGGTCATGTTTGTGTTCGTGGTGAACAGTTTACCCAGTGAGAGGTTTTTGCTCAGTTTGGTGAAGGCCAGGGAGCTAGAAGACCAGCAGGACTTGCATGGGCTCTGTCAATATTGGAAAGTAAGAGGGCCAGATACTAAGATAGTGCTCGTGGTTTGTGTGTTATCAGAGCACAGTCCTGGTCTTTTCCTCCTTGCAGAGGACTATGCTCCTGCAGCCACCGGAATGTGCAAACGTAGGAGGCACCATCTGAACCAGCACTGCCCTCCACGCACAGATGAGCTGTGAACTCCTGGAAAATGGGGAAGATTTGGGGAGTCTGCGACTCCAGGAACCTACATGACCTTGGAAAGCCAAAGAAGCCCCCTACCTCCTCCAGGTTGGTCAAATAATTCACCTAAACCAAAGACCCCACCAGGGACTGGGGTGAAGGCAGGGACATGTGGTGTGACACAGGGTGGGCCTCATTTACCCTGTAGCATCAACAGACTTAGAACCCTCCTTGTCTGTGCTCCAAGAGTGCCCCCTGCAGGTTATGCCTGAACTCTCTGCCACCTCTGCAGATACATATCTCACTCTTCACATCTCACACATCTTCTTGGAAAACCTTGTCATTGAAATGCTTTTACATTTTTTTTCAATTCATAACCAGGGAGGAATGGTCACCACAACCGCCTCTGCCCACGCACACACGCATTGGTTGGTCTGCCTCAAGCAGCCACTTCTTCCACCAAGGCTGACACAGCTGTGGCCTTTACCACAGCGTTTAAAGCAAAATCACTTCAGTGGCAGGAGGAAATACACTTGGTTCATCATGTCATTAGTGTTTTCAGCTTAAAAAAAAAAAAAGAGAGTAATTTCAAAAGGAAAGGTGCTTTATAAAGGTGTGGTTATAGCCTTCATATTCCTGCTAGGCTGCTAAGCAGGTACATGGGCACTGACAAACCAAACTTAAGCCAAAAATAAGACTAGAGATGACCCAAAACGTTCCCAGGCCGTGGCACTGCCACCAGCTTGTCATTTCCTTGTCCCCTCCCCTCCCACCTCTGGACCTAGGACTCCACTTTGACAAAAGCAGCGCTCTTGCTCCCTACTCTGTCAGCTGCTTTTATATATTTACTAACTTATTTAGACCACACACTTTGCTTTTGATGCTTTTTGTACTGCAAAATACAGAAATATATTATTTATTATATCTTAGAAGATTGTATGCATGAGAAGAGGCAAGGACTGGAAGAAATAAAGACTAGAAGGTATAGGCAAAAACTCATTAAAATATTTGAAGTGGTACCAATTGCCAGTAAAATGCCCGTTCATTAACTATGACACTTTGTACAGATATAAAATAGAAGCTATTTTTATTTGAGAACTAATAATGAATGCTGCCTAAATGAACAACGGAGAATTAAAATGGGAGAAAAAAAGGGAAAAAAATGTAGGAGGAGATATTCACATCAAGTACAAAGTAATTACAAAGTATTTCAGAAGACAGACTATTTCTAGGTATAGTTTGAAGACAAATGTTAACCAACAGGAAGAAAAATCCTGCTTACCAAGGGAAGCACGCATGATTTCAAAATAACAATTTTTCTTTGTCTAAGATTAACCAAATAAACGAGATTTAAAAGCAGCAACTGTGAGTGCTGACAGGTCTGACTGGAGTTGCATATGGAAGCAGGAGTGTTTAACATTTGGGGTGACACTGTCTGGAAGTGGCCCCAGTCCTGCCCTGGATCTCAGAACAAGCTAGCTGAGTTTTTAACTTTTTAAGAAAGGCTATTTTTTTTTAAAACATGGGGTCTTTTTATTGAAAAAAAACCCCACACAAATTGGGGTTTTTCTGATTAAAAAATGTTTAAGGGGAATTCTCTGAAAAGGGATCCTCCCACTTCTCAAAATCCACACAAGAACATTGTTGTATTTTTTCTTTCAGTTCCAATTCTACTGGAGAGGCAGCCACAGAAGGTGCATTTCACTCACTGAGCGACTCTGCAAGTGCTGCTCCACCATCCCTGGCTGTCCTCAAGGACTCCACAGCCCATTCCTACCTCTGTGTCATGCTGGGATGGCAATTAATGGTGGCAGTGGGGAGCAGGGGAGGAAGAAGCAGGTTACAGGGACAAAACGGGGGACAGAGGGCACCCCGCTTTACTTCCTGAGACCCCCAGGAGGAACTCTGAAGAAGAATTCCTCCTGGAGGAACCTGATCCAGCGTGACCTTCCATGATGCCTCACAAAAACAGCTATGGCTTGAAGTCCATCTGCTCCCAGAGTTCAGGAGGTGCTGCCCCTTTTCTTCTCAAGAGCTTTCATTAAGTCAGACATGAAATCTGCTTGCCTGCCTCCACCCCCAGTCGGAGGTGGCCCAGCTGCCCGTGGCTCTCCAGCTTGTCCTGTGTTTTCTAGCCTTTTTGAAGGAAGTGGCACAGGTTTCTTCGTCGGAGGTGATGGCTTACTGGAGACAGGTGGAGGAGGAGGTGGAGGGGGTAATGGGAGGTCTCCATTACCGCTACTGGAGGCTGGTGGTGGTGGAGGCACGAAATCAGGAGGAGGTTCACAGAAATCAGATGGTGGTGGTGGAGGAAAATCAATCTTCAGCGTAGGTGGCGGGGCTGGAAAGCTGTCTGGATCTGTGAGGAAAATGCCGCTGTCTCGTTTGACTTTGGAGGGCAGGATTGGTGACACAGAAATAGCAGATGACCGCCGTTCAGGGGGAGGAGGAGGCTGCAGCGAGTTCCTCCTACTCTGGAATTTCTGTGGCCTCCCCACTGCCTGTGCCAGGCCGGGCACGCTGCCGTTGTTTGACTTGGCCTTTAACAAGCAGAAGGAATAAAAGGAGAAGACACGGTCAGTGCACGCGTAAAGTATTGCCAGGGCTGAAGGACAGCAACAAGGGGTGAAAATGTATCTGAGATAGTGCAGTAGACAGACAGATAATGAAGTAGAGTACATTTTGCCTGAAGAGCATAAAGTGTATTTTGTTTTCTTTCTGCAGTTGCCCACAGAGCTTTGACAGTGGAAACCTCCATGTGTACAGTATTCATAGTGCTTCCTCAAGTGATGTCCTTAGAAAATGAGTGTTTATAGATTTCAAAGAATTGCAGTTAGGAAGACATACAAAGATACTTTCTTGATGTTCCACCCTGCTCTTTGCTCCCTGAGAACAAGAAGACTTAAAAAAAAATAATATCTGTACTGTGCTTTTACATCCAAAAAGACTGAGCAAGATTTGAGAACATAAAGAACAGATGTAGTTTTGGCTCTCATCCCCATTGTATCTCCATCTCCCATTCCAGCTGGAGATCCAGAGCTGGATCCGTTGCTGACATGGCAAGGGCCACTGATGAGCCTGGGGAAGGGTTTCTTTCTGCTGGGCAAGGCACATACACACCTCCTCCACTTTCCAATCAATAGTGTGACAAAGAGGTTCTTGAAGCCACTAAGTTCTAGCCATGTCTGCAAAGTCACAAGATGGTCAAACCCTCTGACAACTTTTTCGAAGCAAAAATGAATCGAAGCATCCATCACACAAGTTAAGAAAATGGAGGACAGCAGTTCATTACGGAGATGTTTATCTTTTAGGTGGCTTTTCTTTTAAATTGTGTTTGGTAGTTGACACTCTGAAGATAAATAAAGCCCATTTGGTGATATCTGAATATAATTTGCTCTTTTATTTTCAGGTAGCAACTGACAGCTGTTGACAGTTACTACACAAACATGCTGTCTATTCTTGTAAACGTGTGGAGAAGTCTGCTGTCCTGCAAACAAAGCTTTGTAACACATTCATTGCTAGTTGTGCTAATTTATGGGTTTAGATCCAGCCAGCTTACTGCTCTAACTGTAGCACAGTGCACCTGAAAGCCTTCAGCTTGATCCTTTGGGCCCAGGCTTGTAGAAGCTCTGAGATGAAGAAGGTGACATGTTTGGTTCTGCCAGAGACAGCTGCTGTGTCTGCCAGCCTGCAGTCAGCAGCACTAATTCCGGCATTAGCTAAGTATAACACACACGCCTTCTCTCCCTCACCCCCCTGGCCTACAGAGATGGAAGTGAACGAGACACGGGAGGAGGGAACCACTGGCTGAGTGCTGAGAGCGTGATCTGCTCCAGAGGAAGTGAGGTTCAGAACAGAGAAACAGATCTTTTTGAAGGAGGAACTCAAAGACAGAAACAAGAAGCGTAGGACACACAATGCAGGTGACAGCAAAACCCCAGGAGTTTAATTTCACTTGTCCTGTGTACTTTATGCATGATGGAAGGGTTGAGTAATGAACTGCAAACAAATCCAGGTTTTTTTCTGTAGGATGTTTTTGAAGTCCTCATACTGAGGACTTCTGAGATTTTTACAGCCAGAGCTGGTGCAAGTTGACAAAATTTGGAACTTAACCAAGGAATGCATTTAGAGCCTAATGAAAACATGTAATGTTTTCCCTTATTCTTCACACTTCCCCCTTTGTTACGCACTCATCTTCAGCTGTGCACGGGGTTCCCTGCCGAAAACACTGCTGTATCCTTCCTGCTACTAAGGCAAGACCTGTTTTCTGGCAGAGACCGAAAACGGCACCGAGGTTCACAGAATCACAGAATCTTCTAGGTTGGAAGGGACCTTAAAGATCATCTTGTCCAACCGTCAACCCAACTGACAAAAATAGACACCCCCACAACAAACAAGGAGCATCACTAAACCATACCTCCCAGCACTACATCAACCTGTCTTTTGAACACCTCCAGGGATGGTGCCTCAACCACCTCCCTGGGCAGCCCATTCCAATGCCTGATAACCCTTTCAGTGAAAAAAATTTTCCTAATATCCAGCCTGAACCTCCCCTGGCACAACTTGGGGCCATTTCCTCTCGTCCTGTCGCCTGTGACTTGGGAGAAGAGACTGACCCCCACCTCTCTACACCCTCCTTTCAGGTAGTTGTAGAGAGCAATAAGGTCTCCCCTCAGCCTCCTCTTCTCCAGGCTGAATAACCCCAGTTCTGACAGCTCAGGCTCTTTGAGACTGTCCCCATGGGCACGTTCCTATTTCTGCTACGGGAATCAGCTCTTTGTTCTGATCAACAGAAGAGCCTGATGCCTGTGCCTTCACCTCCCACCAGTGGCTCCTCGCTCTGTGCAATGGGCACACGTTTGTGGTGTGTACAGCACGAGGAGGGGCAGCAAACCAGCTGCTTTGCCCAGAAACAAAATCGCTGTCACAACAGTACACCCTGAGGGGGTAAGACAGCAGGGGAAGGAAAGCAAACTTGAAGAACTGGTCCACAGGTGACATTTAAGCAGTGCACTGCTAGTAACTGCTGACCTGTACCTCTGATGCATCCACTTTCTTCTGAGTCTCTGGAAATTCTGCACTGGAACGACGAACAATTTGGGGAATCTGCCCATTTGACTGAACAGCACCTGTGGCAAGGAGAGGAGAGAGGGGGATGAGAGTGTTACATTTGTGTGATATTAACCAGATCAGGGAATAGCAAACTAAAAAAAAGGCTATAAAAACGTCATTATAACTTCCACCAAGGATCCACTTGTTACAGGATTTTACACGTAATTCAGTAAAATCCATGAGGATGTGTGTTTTCTACTTCAGTCTTATTTTGTGACTTTTCACACTCAGTTTGTTACCGAAGGAAAATAAACAGGATACCTTACATTAAAAGTAACACCTGTCCACATGCCTCCATGGCTGTAGCTGACAATCCTATGGAAAGTGGAAGTGGCAGAATTATGAAGACAAATGACAGAAATTATCAGAGTGCGTAAAGGTCTTAACAAATGAAGAGCTGCTGCTTCTGGCTACTGTAAATGGCGGTGACAGAAGGGGACCATTAAGGCTGACACAAGAACAAAGAAGAGGAGCTGGCTTTGGAAGGGAAGCTAAGCAGAAACAGCATTTTAAAGTTTGTAGTGTGCTGTAGTATTACTACATTCCCGGTTTTTATTGCATGGTTTTTTCCTTTACTTGAGGCTAAAAATAAGAAGTGCCATAGTTTCTTATCAATAAGAGTCAAGAGAGCTGAAGGTTTGAAGTCCTGCAGAGAGGCTGATCCATTTTCTTTAGTAACTAAGCTAACAGCTCTGAAACTTCTCCACCAGCTGGAATCGTGGGACATTTGTGAACCTCACTGTATTCTCAGATGAGTGAAGATCTGCTAGACCACTAAGTTAAAGCTCTGCAAAATGTCTGCTGACCACTACTGTGTTTGTCAGGGAGATGCATAAATAACCCTGTACTGTCACCTGGAGTAAGCGAATGCAAAACCAAAGGACAAATTTGTGGGTTTAACTATGAAGAAGTCCCCAGTCCCTGTACAGCCTGATGAGGATTAAATAAACTCTCCGGTTTAGTCTACGATTTTTGGAAGCTGTACATGTCAAAGTAGTAGGTAGTGTTTGGTGCCTAGATACATACATTTGAAAATCTTAATGACTGCCTTAGCTCTATTATAATTTACAGCTCTGAGATCCAGTAAAGTTCCACTCGTGTACTTCTTGGATGCCAGTGAACCCTTAGCTGTCTACACTAGATGTCTAAGCACAACGATGGTTTTAATCTTAACATGTATTTTTCTGATTAGCAAAGAGGTTCCGTGAGTATGATAAGAAACAGAACAAATTATTTTTATTGCCACGCTTGCAAATCGCAGGACTGACAGAGAAGCAAGACAAACTCTGCAGAGCAGTGAATTTGCTAGGCCTATTTAGGCTTCAAGGGGTGACAGAGGATGGTCTGAAGTCCTTGTGTTTTATGTTTGTGCCTGCATGTTGTTCAGCACATCTAATCCAAAGTACCATTCTGATAATTCAAACTACAGTCTGTGTTTGTTGAAGGACTAACATGGAAGTCAATAAAGAGATAAAATCAATCTCATGGCTGTAGGTGCTCAGTGGAGAGAGATGTAAATCCCTGGGTGCCATGCCCTCAAGCAGAGCAAGTTGCTGCCTCTCCTCCTGCTGTCCATGGCAGAGCAGGAGTTTGGGCTTCACACTGCACAAGGATTTCAGCCCCCAGTCACGCTGAGATTTAACTAAATGAAAGACAGCAGAGAGAGAGCCACTCTATATAGTACAAGGTATAGTGTCCTCCTTGGCAAATATGATATACCAGAAAGCTGGGATACGGCTAAATGGTAATCTGTTTCTTCTGTTAATGGTCTTCATAAACTATACAAGACTTGAAAGCAACATTTGATATATTAACTCCTGCCACACACCTGCACGTATACTATACGCAAAGTCAGTCAGCTAAATGGACTCCCAGTCAATCCTATATGTGAGTTCATGCATTCCACCGTCAAGATTTATTTTTAAATGTTAGAGTAATCTTTACAAGTCATTTTCTCCAAAATTTTATGTTGGATTAACATTTTTTGAAGCAAAAAAATAGTCCAACTATAATGCAAAACATAGATACTCAAAATATAGAATGCAAAATACTGAGCCATGTAGTGATGTGGAACATCTGAATAAAGCAACACCCTTCATCTTTCAAACATAACGATACTGTGTTGGCACACAACAGACACTGGTTTTTAGCATCTCACACACAGTGTGGCAGAGAGGCAAACAACATATTTTGCCTGACTTGGGACAGTTCAGAACCACGGACCAGTTTGGGGTGTACGTGAACACACAAATGCTGGCTACAGCAGTGTCACCAGGGAACACAGGCTACGTGAGATGTGAGAACAGCAGTTCCACCTGCCTTCCTCAGCACTGCTCTGGGCTGCTGCTGAAGGCTACAGGTACAGCCCCCTGCTGAGCTCACACAGGACTCTAGTTTTCTATAGCAGATTTTAGCCAATACTGAAATCAGACCCTATAAATGGCCATACACACATTTGAAAACAGAACAGAAGAAAATGTGCTTTGTTCTATTTCCAAAACGTGGGCCAACAACTACTCACAGTCAGGCAGTTCAGGTTACAGTATTATAGTCAGGCCCCAGGTTTTACACAGGGCATTAATGATAACTATTAAGACAGCAAGAATCACAGTGACTTGCCTCAATTAGAACACTAATGATCCTTCAGAGATATTTCCATAGAGACAACATACACAACTAAAATCTTTCCAGGCTATTTAACCATTTAATGGGATCCATTAGTTAAGATTAACAGTATATTTCATGATCACACGCAGTGTTCCTGGATTCTAGTCAGGAGCTGAAGTTATAACACACATATATGTATTTTATAAGGCCTTGATCCTGCCCATACCCAGTACAGACTGCACACCAGCACGGAGGCCCACTGGCCAGCACCTCTCTCCTGCCATCAGTGTCAGAACACAAGATGCTCCAGGACTGTCCCAGCCACCCTTGCTAATGTACCCCCCCCTCAACCACCAAAAAAATCCCCTGATCTCAAAGCAGTGTGTTACTGGGTCTCCTTACCCCAAATGTGCATTTATTACCATGATTGTCTCCAAGGAACAGTAGAAAGACCATCCTCTTCTCATATGTACTGAGAAAAGGCAAACTAAAGCTTTGTAAAGGTGTTTGGAAGGTTCTGAATATTAACTGCCAACGCTGATTTTGACTTTGCTTGTCTTATGACAGCAAGTATTTGGCCAGCACATCCTTCCTAATAAATAAAGCGTACCTTAAGCATGTAAATGACAAACATTCATGCAAGTTACATTCTGTATCACACACTGCTGTATCTGTACAATGATGAAACAGGTAACAGCAATATGATGAAGCTCCTGGAAAAGTAGAGAATAACCCAATCCTTCCTTCCTCTGCATCCTTCTCACAACACCCACATTGTTATCATGAAAATGAGTGAAAGGCTAGGAAAGAGAGTGGCTCACTCTGTAATAATCTCTTTCTGAAATGAACATTCTCAGAATATCCCACTCATGGGAAGAAAAGCTCTGATAAACCCCGTGTAGAGATGGACAAACAGAAAACTTCAAGACGTGGACCATCATGTAGAGGGAGGATAAAGGATTTGTATTCAGATGCCAACAGAAAAATACCTTATTAAATTATGCAGATTTAAATGGACCTGTGGTGGGCTGTCTTTGTGTTCTTCAAGTTCTACCTTTAAAGCCAGAGCTCTGCTGCCAGTTTAGCTATAAATTAGAGCTACGCTGGGCTGTCTAGAACATGATATTATCTTGCTGAATCAATGGGATGCATAGTTTTCTGAACAAAGACTATTGCAACACTGATGATGACAGAAGAGGGCAATAAATGGGATTTCAAGCACTGTGGCAGCATTGGTACCTGCTGATAAGGATCCTGCAGGAGCAGCTGGTTCCACCGTCCCTTGATTTGTCCAGTGAGAGGATAAGCCAGCTTTCTTCACTGCGCATTTGTAATTATCATATAGCGTCCTGCCATACTGCAAAACAATACAACAGGAATGGTGTTAAGCCTGAAATAGGTTAAGCATTCATTTTGCTCTCAGACAACTTCTGTGACCCCATTCCTTCCTCCCCAGTTTTGTTAAAAAGTAGTTTTCTACAAGCGCTGTGCCTATTTCTGTACAGGGCCAGGTGGAAAGCATCCACCATATAAATCCACCATTTATATCACAATAAAACAGGAATTCCTGTGACCAAACACAGTCCTACTGATATCATTCTCACATTTTATGTTCGTTTCAGTATCTGTAAAAATCTTGAAATGTGGCTTTACAACCAACTGTTCTCAATAAATATCTTTTCCCACTGCTTTCCAAGTATTACATTTTCATACTGGAGACATGGGACACTGAATCCTGGGCTCTACAGGAAACAGCTGTCAGTGAAATACACAAAATAATTTGATGTTCACCCCACACCTTTGTTGGATGTCACCCTGCAGCAGAACCGGCAGAAAAGAATATCTACCTACCAGGAGCAGGTCTGTATAGCCAGGTACAGCCACTATTTTGGGCTACGTATAAATCCATCTCCCTTAATATTTTGTGCAAACCAAAATGGCCTGTGAATTCGGATCTTTTTGAACAGGGCGAGACAGACAATTTGGGCACAACTGTCTGAAAAATGCCACAGCTGGACTGATCAGAGCTTGCACATCTTTGGCCACAGCATACTATTACTGTGCCAGGTAACTGCGAGGGAGTTTTATGAATAGATGAGTTTTATAGCTACAGAATTCACCCCCACGTTAATAAGACAACCACAGTGATAACTAGAGTACAGGGATATTCAGCAAATCCATCCTGGTGATGCCCGTCTGCTCTTTCTTTCTATGGTAAAATTAGCATGAATGTCCATTCTTGTCACAGTATTTCCAGTTGAGGTGATGACAGTCAGTAACCTAAGGAAGACAGGTTTTTACAGAAAACATATTTAAAGAAATTCACTTTTAATCTCACCTTGGCAATCCTTATTCCTGTTACCCACTGATGCAGGGTTGCTTGATCGTCGCAGCATAAGTACTTGATATATTGTGACTCCTTTTGAATCTGGGGGTGCTGAAAGATATTGATTCATAAAGTAAGACATGGACAGAAATCAAGTGACTGTACAGAAGTGTGAGGGCACTGCACAGCAACCTCAATGAGAACACTGCCTATAGGCATCATGTTAACTTAAAGATGATTTGGAAAAAAAAAAAAAAGCAGCAGCAAAAACAGAGTATAAGAAAACATAAAAAATATGGAGATTGTGAATTATACATGAGTTGCCACTGACAGCATTTGCTTGAAATAATTTTAACACACTGTGATATGAATTCAAGGGCTACAGAAATCCAGTAGTGATCTAGAGGTCAATGAAGCCTACAAATGCCATGGTTCAAGGTCTAACACTCAATGTATAAACACTGGAAGGAAGTCTGTTTCTCATTGTAGTCTGTCGTCTGTAAGGCATCCAGACTGAATGCTGAACATAATTAGTTTTCAAAGGGTATGTTAAATTTGTTTAAGCATAAACTCTCAGCTGAAAGAGATTTTTCCTTCTAACTGCCTGCCTTTCTTTGGGCCTAGTTCTAGCTATCTTCCTACACATTTTTATTCTGCTTTACTCTTGCTGTTGTTTGCCAACAGTTTTGTAATACTACCATATGTTCTAGATAGAGGATCATTCAAAATGCAATACCATCAGAAATAATCTGTTTTGTTTGTACCAGAAACATTTACAGTTTTTAAACATTCTTTATTCTTTTGAACACAATTTAGGATCTCTTCCCCTTGCTGATCAATGTAATAGTAGTACGTGGTGATGCACCATTGCAACTCAAAGATCACCAAAATCCCTGGCTGCCTACTTGCCTGAGATTGAACATCCTCTCTAAGACTCTGCAGGAATTTGGTTCCCCTGCTACAGCAGAGAAGGCTGTGAAGTCTCTAGTAGCTTAGATGGAATAATATACTGCCATCTCTTGATATGCAAGGGAAAGAATGAAACCAAAGGAAAAGGCTTCATTCTCCCTCATTTATGTGTTCATTTCTATCATAGGTGCACAGATAGTGAAACCTTGTGAACACACAAAAGAGCAGACAAATATGCTCCAAGGATTCACTCCTGTCAAACCACTCTTTTTGCCCTGACCAGTTAAAAATTCACAGAATTGCAGAATGGCAGGGGTTGGAAGGGCCCTTTGGAGATCATCTAGTCCAACCCCCTGCCAAAGCAGGGTCACCTAGAGTAGATTGGGACAGGAACGCATTTAGGCAGGGTATGAATTATCTCCAGAGGAGACTCCACAGCCTCTCTGGGCAGCCCGTTCCAGGGCTCTGGCACCATCAAAATAAAGAAGTTCCTCCTCGTGTTGAGATGGAATTTCCTGTGTTTGTGCCCTTTGCCCCTCGTCCCGTCACCGGGCACCACTGAAAAGAGTCTGGCCCCATCCTCTTGACACCCGCCCTTTCGATATTTGTAAGGATTGATGAGATCCCCTCTCAGTCTTCTCTTCTCCAGGCTAAACAGACCCAGGTCTCTCAGCCTTTCCTCATAAGAGAGGTGCTCCAGTCCCTTGGTCATCTTTGTAAGCTCCACCTAGCAGCAAGGACCCCGGGTTTATAGTTATTGTTAAGCCCCCAAAACAGAGCAGTGCTGGATGTGAGGATCCCTTGCAGCACAGAGGCAGCCCAGAGCTGATGTAGGTGCCAAGTATCTCCTCACAGATGCCTGCTGGTGGCTGGAGAGTCCCTGGTGCAGAGGCCAAACCCTGGCCACAGCTCAGTGACACAGGGGTTCAAAACCAAAGCTGGTCTTGCTTCTCAGCCCTGTCCTGCTCCCCTCTCAGCGTTGCACATACTAGGCTTCTCTTGCTTGTGCTGACCCAACTGTTTGAGGCCACATTGTGATTTTGGGAAGGAAAAAAAAAAAAAAAAAGGAACTGGTCTAGGTTAAATATAGCCCCTCTCAGTGTTGCACATACCAAGCTTCTCTTGCTTGTGCTGACCCAACTGTTTGAGGCCACATTGTGATTTTGGGAAGGAAAAAAAAAAAAAAAAAGAAACTGGTCTAGGTTAAATATAGCCCATTTCATCCTGCTGTAGTTTTGGCTTATTTTTTTTTTAAACCCAGCAGTCCACAGCATGGCCTCACATACAGCACAGGGACACAGGGCACCGTGGCTTAGGAAGAGAACAAGTAGCAAGGGATGGATGAGAGGATGGGACCGCACAAGCCAGTATTGCTACCAACGCCTGGATCATCAAATCACAGGGTGAGTGTGAACACACCAGGAGATAACTGTGAGGAACAAAACCCAAAGGGGTATTACTCTTGAGGGTTCTCACAGAGGCAGATGTGTGCCAAGGCAGTGCTGTGTGTAACCAGGTTACAGCTCTCTGCTCTTTGAGCTCAGCTGTTCACACGGGTCATAGCGGTCACCATTTCTCTGCAAACACACAGTCCGTCTCCCCTGGACGTTGAACATGCAAAGTTCATCTCAGCCCTCTGGAAGTGCCCACAGCCAGCTTATGCTATTACCTCGAGTGTTCCCAAGGTGAAAGCTAGGGACATCTCCCATCGCAAACCCAAAGGTGACAGCCCACTGTCACCAGGTGCCTTTACTGCAGAGCAGGCACCATGCCCATCCCAGGGACCTGTGCCTCACCCACCCGGTACACTCACACACCACCCCTTCACACAGCTTAATGCACAGGGCTGAGTCTTGCTGCTATACATCTATTCCACCTACCAAACCGGGGCAGTAACCAGGGCCACTGGACAAACAGCCTCCTCCATCTCCACAGCATCTGCCTGTCCCCATCTCGGCAGCCTCAGACAGCCCCAATGCTGCTCAGAAGTGGCTCCACTACTGCAATACGTGGCCAGCACACAACGCCTGACAATCCTTATTTCCTTCCACCATTTCTCCGTTTATTATGTGACCCAGCACAGTGAAAACTATGAGAGAATTCAGTCTGAAAGGTTTCTTTAAAAGGGAACTGTAAGCAGGCACTTCCCCCCGTGGCAGAGTACGTCCCATAGGCCTGGGTTACATTATCACCAACGGAGCCAGAAGAACCAGGAGGTGCAAACAAAGACACTGCAACTCTGGGTAAATTCAATTCATCAGGCACTTTTCAACCAGCAATTAGCAATTTTGCTCCAGTGTGTAAGGTCCTACTGAACCCAGCAGATGGCACCCAAAGCTTTCAAAAAGTAAGGATTTTTTTTTTTCCCCTTCTTTTTCACGGCATCAAAATCCAAGGGGTCTACGTTATCTCCCCTCCTTTTCAAACACCACACCTACCAACAGTTTTTTATTGTAAGAAAAACAAAAAAAGACTTCTAATTTAACAGATAATTCATGCAAACACCTGGAAGAAAGTGCACACTGCATAAACAAGGCAGAGGAGGCCGTGGCACAGAGGGAGTTAGGTAATGACTGGTGCTGCACACAGACACAGCCCTGCCGTGGGGCTCTGCTGCTGGGGAGCTCGGGGGGCTGAGCTTTGTTACTCCTCCAGGCACCCCACCAGTGTCACAAACACACCTGTACTGTGTCAGATCCAAGGTCCCTGAATCCAGTGCCTGGACTTTGACAGCGGCTACAAACGGATACTGAGGGAAGAGAAAGAACAACACAAGCACACATCATACTTCCTTCTCTGTACTCTTCCTGTCTGTAACTATTTTAAGGTCAGGGGATTTTCCGAGCCACATGGGGTTTTTCTGTCTTTAGGTTCTTCAGTGGATTTCTCCTCCAGGTGCTTCTTCAGCTTTTTATTGAGTCCAGAGCAGCTCTGCTGCTGGGGAGCTCGGGGGGCTGCTGCAGACCTCTCCTCCAGGCACCCCACCAGTGTCACAAACACACCTGTACTGTGTCAGATCCAAGGTCCCTGAATCCAGTGCCTGGACTTTGACAGCGGCTACAAACGGATACTGAGGGAAGAGAAAGAACAACACAAGCACACATCATACTTCCTTCTCTGTACTCTTCCTGTCTGTAACTATTTTAAGGTCAGGGGATTTTCCGAGCCACATGGGGTTTTTCTGTCTTTAGGTTCTTCAGTGGATTTCTCCTCCAGGTGCTTCTTCAGCTTTTTATTGAGTCCAGAGCGAGTTCTGGTACCTGCAACATCTTTGAGCAACTATTTTCCCAGGTCTGCTACATACTCTATGAAGAATCAGCTCCTTTTGCTCTGAACCTGACCACTACTAGCTTTGTTAACACTCCTGTTTTGGAAGAATGGCTGACCCCTCTCCATGTCACTCCTGAGCCCAGAGATCTGTATCATATTAAGTTCTGGCACCTGCAACATCTTTGAGCAACAATTTTCCCAGGTCTGCTACACACTCTATGAAGAATCACCTCCTTTTGCTCTGAACCTGACCACTACTAGCTTTGTTAACACTCCTGTTTTGGAAGAATGGCTGACCCCTCTCCATGTCACTCCTGAGCCCAGAGATCTGTATCATATTCCTGGCAAGTTGTCTCTTTTCCAGCCTACAGGCTTCTAGTCTTTGCAGTCATTCTTCAAATCAGTCATTATTTGATTTGAAATTACTTTTGCTTATCCTTGTTGCTCTTCCTTGATCCTTTTCCAAGTTTATTATATCCTCTTTGAGGTGAGAAGACCAGAACTGTGAAGGTGAGGGAGAACCATGGACTTGTGCGATGGTATGGCAATGTTCACTGATTTATCACCTATGCCTTTCCTAATCATTCCTAATGCTTGATTTACATATCTGACCACCACTGAGCACTCAAAGCTTGCCTCACTGATCACTTTTGGCCCTATGCACATTACTGTGTGTGTACAAAGCTTGCCTCACTGACCACTTTTGGCCCTATGCACATTACTGTGTGTGTATACCTAAACCGTATGCTATTTATGATCTTTTTGTCCAGAACCTCAGCCTCATAATGCCCTTCCATAATTCTTCAGTCTGCCCCTTCCTCAACAATCTGAACAATGTAGCATCATCATTGAGCTTCCTCACATCACTGAGTACCCCGTCGATGAGTATTTTGAGATTGTGGGGCTCTCACCATCCTGAGAATCTGAGAGGG